CACACACACACACACACACCAGCATGGAACACAAGAGCACAGTGCAGCAAACATACATCCAATACACAAATAACAATAAAGGTCCACACTGTTCACGAACCCCGAGTCCCCGGAACCGGGTCCGTGACATTTTATGAGTAAAAATTAAATACAGAATAGTAGAATTAGTGCAGATTATTAGAATATATAATGTAAACATAGTAAAAAATAAAATATATCTGTACTTGTTAATTTCCGTGTACCAGTCCAGAGTTAGAAAGGTAACATTTAACTCTTTCTCCATTATTGTTTTCAAAGACAAAACATTTGCTCATAAAACAAATTGCATAACAACTATTGAATAGAAAACTTTTAGAATTATGCCAACATGCAACAGGCGTTTTTCTGCTTTTCATAAAGGTCTCTGAACTTAAAATATATCTTGGAGAGCATTCATTACCAAGATTCATACAGTTATTCATACAGGTCTGTGGCAGGTTTTTATTATTTTGCTTCATCCTCAAGGGAGGGAGAGTTCTGAAACCTCATTGTTCTGCCTTTTTGTAATTGTTGCTTTGGGAATGTACAATTCCTTCCATTCTGTTCAATGTGAACATTCAGGATGGAAATGCCATCTCTCCTTATAAGTATAAAATTAAAAGTAATACAATAGAAGAGTAAAAAATAAAAATGAATAAAGTCAATAAGAACAGTTGTCTCTCATACAGCAGTTTCAAGGTGTCAACATATGCTTTCAACATACAATAAATGTTGTTCTCAAATCATTGATTAGGTGACTTCATAGCAGTATTCATGTTGGTGATGTCCTTTGTGCAAAAACTGTTCAAAAGTCTTCTTTTGTTTGTCCTGTATCATTAGCCCAAGGACAGAAATTCTTATACAAACTAAATGCAAAAATAAATAATGCAATTTGCATATGACCAGAACTATAAAACAGTGGGTTATTTGATTATGTTCATTAGTGTGACAGCCTGGGGGGAAGAAACTCTCTCTGTAGTGTGTAGTTTTTTTAGCACCTGCCTGAAGGCTGCAGTTTAAATATTTTGTGTCCAGAATGTGAGGGGTTTGCAGAAATGCTTTCTGCCCATTTCCTAACCCAGGACCTGAACGCGTTCTGGATGAAAGGAGTCTCTCAAGATTCAAAATCTTTTTCTGTGGTCAAACTTTCAAATGTTTTTTTAGTTTTCCTGTGCAAAAGAGAGTGTGGGTTTTGATTTATATTCAAGTTTTATGGGAATAGTTTCTCCATTGTAAGATGGACTCACACACGCAATGGGTGTGTTCACAGTTTTCTGTGAGTGTTATATGTTTTGGTTTAATTCCTGTTAAGATTTGCTAGTTCTTAGGTTTTGGTTTCTGTGCTCCCTCTGTTTATTGTCTAGTCTGTGTCTTTCTGCTCTCCCTGGTCCCACATCACCTGTCTAAGTCATCCTGTGTTTCCCTTCTTTCTCCCATTTCCTGATTACCACCTTGTGTGTTTTAGTCCTTTGCCACTCCATGCTTGTTGTCGCATCGTACCCTCATACATGTGGGGTTTTCCTGTGCTCCATGTTCCCCTGTAACTTCTGGTTTCCTGTTCCATAGCCCTAACCTGTTTTGTTTTTGTTTTGAAATATTCAAGTGTTTTAAATGAAAATACATTTCTCAGAACAACACAATCATTGTCTTGTGCTGACTGAATTCCTCCAGTAGCGTGATTTCTGTTGGGTCTGTCTAGCACAGGCCCACCGCTGGAACGACACAATTTAACTACACAGCAAAAGCATTGAACACCAAGTAGGCAAAGTTCTTTATGTTACTCATGCATGAGGGAGAGAACCACGACAAGTGCCGTTCCTTCACTTGACCAAGTCGCTCTCGTCCGCTCCCCCCGTAACACTGCTCTTTTATTGAGGTTAAATGATTATACATAGGTTCATTAATGTATCATTAATATACTGCCACGGTGAGCAGATGTTTACCGTGTATGCCATAGGTGTCAAACTCTGGCCCGCGGGCCAAATTTGGCCCGCAGTCTAATTACATTTGGCCCGCAAAGCCATACCAAATTACAATTAGAGCTGGCCTACTGGTATTATACAGCTTATATATATATATTTTGTTTAGTATTAAGCTTTGCTTGTTCCATATTCAGTTTTCCAGCAAAACTTATTTGAGTCCATAAGAAAAGATTCATTCTTATATCTGGAGGAAGATTTTTTTT